AGTTTATATTTTTAAATACTTTTACTCAAACTAAAGTAATTTTTAGGAGAATTATTTGTACTTTTACTCCACAACCTTTCATTTTTTACATTTTGTTACTATTCTCAAAACTCAAATTCGTGGCAGGCAGTCAAAATGCAAGGCATGTATGGAAACTCTGAAGCCACAGCATAGCTTGGGGAAGAGGGACCTAGAGGCATACCTGGTATGCTCTGTTAATGGTATGGAGATTTTCAAGTGTTTCCCCAGCCTACTTGATATAGCTATAGGTTTTAACATGCCCTCCTTGCCTCTGCTGCCTGCGAGCATCTCTTCAGTTGTGCTGAGCAGATTTTCAGCCTTCTGCATGCAAGGCTTGACTGTGGCAACTTTGAAAATCAGTTGCTTCTCAAATTGAATAAGAAATTTTGTGCATAATATAGTTGGTTGAATTCATATACTTTTTTTAATTCCTTATATAGTTTATTCTGAAACAATGAGAGGTGTACAATATTCATTATTGGCATTATTGTTGTAATATTTCATGCTCAGTCTGCATGAGTTGTCCAAAACCCTAAGTGTAGTTGTGAATACCATAGTAATCAATTATATACAACAAATGTGTTATAGATAACTAAAAGAATGACAAATCTTACATCACTGCTATTCACTGGTAATTTACTTAGTTTGGAAAATCTTTTCCATACAGAGTTTTGTTTCTAGACCTCATGGCCCGCAACGTACATGTATGGTTTGAGAGAACTGCAGATGAGTGTACTTTTTACTTTTGTTACTTGAGTACTTATTCAGTAGATACTTTTTTACTCTAACTTAAGTAAATTTTAGGATGGATGCTTTTACTTGTATTTGAGTAACTATTTGACAAAGTACTTTTACTTGAACTTGAGTAACATATTTTAGTACTTTTTACACCCTGATGACAATTTTTTCCCATTAACAAACAGAGACCTTGAGACATCACTCTTTGAATAGCAAGAAATTCTAAAACATTGTGTAGGGATGCCTCGTCATTCGTCCATAGGCCCTGGAATTCCTGACTATTGAGATATGTACGCCTTCCATTAAATGAGCCATCCATGAAGAGATGGATCTCTGAATGAGGTGGTGGCAGATGAACACCTATTATAGTATTGTTCCGATTTACCAACTGAAGAAAAGGAGCCAGAGACAGCTGATCCCAATTTGGCCGACAGAATAAAGGAAGGCACTGGAAAAAGGAAATTGAAATTCTCTCCAGAATGTCCAGGAACGCCTGCAAGTGCATACACAGAACCCCCTGGAGAACCACCACCAGACCAAATATATGTTTCCATTTCACCATTACAGATAAGGTCACAGACAGCCTCAACTGAGAGTGACTCCCCTGACAGTGGAGCGATGCTAGATATCAGAGGAGGGATAGCAGAACCCTGATTTGCCTCCATGCCAGAAACAATAATCCAAAAATTCATGCCATATATCGGCTTGCCAAGCAAATTTTTTTCTTTTCAAAAAACCACTAGGTAACACAAAGAACACTTAAAGTATCTCAAACGGTCATAGTCCAGAGAAACCCATTAGTGAATGCTTTGTTGAGAAAGAGTGGTAATATTATCTAAATAAGGTGCTTATATCCAGTACCAGGATATGGGGTGCACTGACGTAGGTGGAGAGTGTCACGAGATAGATATCGCCAAGAGCAATTATGTGTGGAATAAAAGACTGAAGCAAGCAAGAAAAAATCAGACCAATGCTCAGATGGGCAAAGGAAGAAAACCGTAGTAGTAGGTTGAGAGGAGATAAGTATGTTTTGGAAAAATGAATAATTTAAGAAAGATTTTGAAAAGCTGCTCAATAGCATCTAATTAATAGAAAGAATTATAATTGGAGGGGACCTAAACTGTCATGCTCGTTAAAGACAAGTTAATTTTCAGGGTGTGCATGGAGGACAAGGGTATGGAAACTGAAATGAAGAGAAACAAAGGATTCTTGAATTGGTAGAGGCTTTAGAATTATATAATGATGATACTAGATTCTAGTGGAGAGAGGAACACTGAAATTATGTATAAGAATGGTCAAAAGGTGGGTCAAATTGATTTTGTGGTTGTCAGACAAACAGATAGAAAGAATATTAACTGTAAAAGAGATACCCATGGAGGAAATAGTGAACCAACATAGCTGTTGGTGATGGATATAAAGATACAAAGAGAGAAAATAGAATCAAGAAGTGTAAAATAGGAGCTAAAATCAAAATATGGAAATAGAAGGGAGAAAATATTAATAAATTCAAAGAAGTGACCAGACAGAGACAAAACACAAGTGCAAATGCAGTGGAAGGAAGAGACCTGGAATGGGAAGCTATTAAAGTTCCACTATTGGAGGCAGCTGATATGGTTTGTGGAAAATCAAAAGCAAGTAAAGAACATAATAAAGATACATGTGGTAGGAGAAGAAAATACAGGAAGTGATAAAAGAGAAGAGAAGAACATTCAAAGTCACAAGGAAATGAGAACAATACTCTTGAGTAAAGAGAAGCTGAAGAGAATGCCAAGAAAGCAGTGGTCAAAGAATGAATTGTGGGAGGAATGGTATAGTAAGCTTGAAACACTTGAAGAAGAAAAGATAATATATAAGATAAGTCTAGAGAAGGAACATGATAATGGAGAAATAAATGGATTAAAAACAGAGGTGAATCAATAGCTGTTAAGAATAACATAAAAAAAGGTGGAAGCATTATGGTGAAGAATTGTTGAATTGAGAAAATGAGAGATAATTCAGAGGATGTGTGTAAAGTTCAAGGACCACTGGATGAAACAAACAGACAAGAAGTTAAATACACTATAATGAAAAAGAAACAAGGTAAGTGGCCTATCAGGGGTGACAGTTGAGATGACCAGATCTATGGGTGAAGATAGTATGAGATGTAGAGAAAATTTCAGAAGACTGGAGAAAGAGCACAATGGTACCTATATATAAGGGGACAATGTATTGGAATGTGGTAATTATAGCGACATTACACTAATTGAGCATGTATTTAAAATCTTAAATGGAATGGTTGAAGAGCAGTTAAGGAAGATCATATCAGTAAATGAGAAACAGGAAAGAGTACAGCTGATGCAATGTTCATTGTAAGGTAGATGCAGGAGAAGGTCTTTGAGGGAAGTGGAACTTATAGAAGACGTATGATAGGGTACCAAGGGAGATTGTTTATTGGTGTTTAAGGATTAATGGGGCTTCAGAAAAAACTGTCAGAATGATCCAAGGAACACATGAAAATGTAAAGATGCAAGTAAGAACAAAACAAGGAGATGCTGATGAATAAGTAAAAGGTAGGATTGCATCAAGGGTCAGCTGTTAGCCCATTCCTTTTTACAATAGTAATAGATGTCCCTTCAGAAAAAAAAGAAGAGAGCTGTGAGAATTGTTACTTTCTGATGATCTAGTGATTACAGCTAAAAGTGAGGAGGAATTACATGTGAGATATAGATTATGGCAGGTACAGTTGGAGAGATGTGGACTTATAGTCAATACAGGGAAGATGAGTGCAATAGCAAGTTGTAAAGGAGGAGGGCAATTTGTCAGAATACAAAATAGGATGGATATGGAGATAACCCAAATAGATAAGTTTAAATACATTGGTTCACATTTAAACAAGACTGGGAAATGCAACCTGGAAGGAAATGAGAGAGAGAGAGTAAGGAGTGGATGGCAGAAGTGGAAGAATATTTTGGGAGTTGTTTGTGACAAGAGAAATGTCTTAGGAAGTCGAAAATTGAGACTTATAATACAGTAGTTAGACCAGTTCTGTTGTGTATAGCAGGGATATTAGCACTGAGAAGGAAAGAAGAAAGTTTACTGGAAAAGCCAGAAATGAGAATGTTACATCAGATTATGGAAGTGTATTAAAAAATAGAATTGTGAGTGATGATATTGGAAAGTGGGCTAGGGTATATAAAATAACAGAAAAAGCATATGAAGCTAGACTAAGGTTGTATAAGCACACGGAAAGAATGGAGGAAAATAACCCAGTGAAAATAATATTTGGAATGCCACTTAAAGGTAGACGGAGTAGAGGACGTCAAAAACTGAGATGGAAAGGTAAGATAGATCAAGACATGAAAGAGACAGGCATAATGACAGAGGATATGGAGAGAAATTATTGGAGAAGGGTTACCTAAGCATCTGACCTCAAAACTAGACAGGATTGAGGTTGGATGAAAAAAAAGTGAAGCAATAACTGAAGTACAAGCTTCAGAAATAATAACTTTAGAATTCATCATGAAAAAACATGACATATATGAACATTACAACAACAAAAAACCTGAATTATGGCTTGAATGCAGTGCTTATGTAAGATCTCTTGAGAAATATGTTGTAAGTTGTGTGGAAGGTGAGAGAGAATTGTGAATTCTGGGTAAGTTATACATGTTATACAATTCATAAAGAAACAGTGATAATCATGAGTCACACGTTTGTCCAAAGCATGAGATCAAACTCAACAGGGAAAGGTTTACAGTATTTCAATTGTTTGTTTGTTTTTGAATTTCGTGCAAAGCTACACGAGGGCTATCTGAACTAGCCGTCCCAAATTTAGCAGTGTAAGACTAGAGGGAAGGCAGCTAGTCATCACCACCCATCACCAACTCTTGGACTACTCTTTTACCAATGAATAGTGGAATTGACCATCACATTATAATGTCCCCCCAAGACTGAAAGGGCAAACGTGTTTGGTGTGATGGGGATTCAAACTCGCAACCCTTAGATTGCGAGTTGAATGCCCTAACCACCTGGCCATGCCGGGCCGTATAGTATTTCAAAGACTACCTCATTTGATATGACTTTTTTGCTGCAATCAAAGTGATAGTCAAAACTTAACACTATTCTTTCTTGGAATAATAATATCACATCTAATACTCTTTGTTGTATTACTTTATGCCAGCTATAACATAAATATATTTTAAGTAAAAAATTAATTTAGATTCAAAAACTTAAAAATTAATACACACATCACTAGTACCTACCTCCACAAAATAAAGAATATTATAGCCAGTATAAAAGCAAATGAAGCACAGACTATCCCAGCTATAAGCCCTGCATTAACACTGGACTCAGTCAATGGGCTGCTTACACTACCTGAAAAATGACAAGTAAGTCACAAGCATTCACAGAGCTAGTATAATTATGATTTCCAAGACAACTGCATAGTAATTAAGAAGAAATTATGATGAGTCACAAGTTCAAAATATTGTTATGTTATTGCACAAAATATTATTTTAAGACTTTCATGCATTGGACTGTTTGTAACAAAGCTTTACTGGAAGAATACAATACACTCTCTTTTATAGTTGATTTAGGCATTGTTTTCATGATAAACAAACAAACATGAAATGAGCAGCGACTGCTTAGTTTGGTATGACACTGTGGAGAAAATCTTGTAGGACTAATCTTTAAAAGCAGCACAGATGTAAAAGGATGGCATTTGAAAAGAGCTTTGTATCTGTCTTCAGGTCAGCTTGCACTGGTTTTGTATGGGTTGATATGCTACTTGGGAGGATAGTGGAGGAATGCGATATGACTGGTTGCTGGTCCTTGTTCTGTGGTTGGTAGGAAGATTGATGATTAAACCAATGGTAGCCACAAACTGTGTGTATCAATAAATCATTCTATAAAAAAAAAATTTGACTTTAAGCAAACAGTCAACAATGACAAAGAGTGATTTGAATGATAAAAGTAGTGTTTCTTCGCTATACACGTTGCAATTGATTCTTCGTACCTGTTCAAGTCTCGGTTTAGTGATGGTTTCATCATGATGATGTAGAAAAATTCTTTTGACTTTTTCTTGTTTTCTAGAATTCATCTGAGTCAATGATTTTATAAGTGTCCCAGTCTATTTTATATCCAGTCAACATAGCATGTTTTGCCAAGGTAGAACTCTGTTTTTCATCAGTCTTGTGCAGTCTTTATGTTCTTTAATTCTTGCCCCAAAGTGTCTTCCAGTTTCTTTGATGTAGATCTGTCTACAGGGACATGGTATTTCATAAAAGGAATTTTTGCTTGTAATCAGATGTTCTTTGTTTGATTTGAAAAGGACATATGAATGTCCTGTAAGATTTCCAGCCTTATAACACCTTACTTCCACAGATAACAAAATCACTTCACCAAGCAAATAGAGAACAGCAGCCTGCCATTTTTTGATATTTTTTATGAGCAGACAGAATGACAAAATCCCTACAAACATATACAGGAAACCAACTCATACTGATAAAGATTATATTTTCAGCCTCACCATTCACTTTCTGTTAAATATGGGATCATTAAGTGTTATAACAACAGAGCTGAAACAATTTGCAATGCAAACTTCATCAAAACTGAATGCTAACAAACATCAATGTTTTATACCTTCTAGTTTTGTCATCACTAAAAATACCCAATACAATACCAACATTATTTTTCTCCTATGTGTACGAAAACTGAGTGAGAAGATCAAACCTGTAATCAAAAAGTTCAACATTAATGTCCACTGGAAATCTTACAGAATACCAAGATATGTCCTTTTCAAAACTAAACAAAGAACACCTGATGATTAATACAAAAATGTTCCTATAGACAGATATACATCAGAAAAACTGGATATACAATGAACTGACAACTACAACTCAAGAACAAATCAAAAAATTTTTCTCACCAACTTGATGAAACCATTGCTAAACAGAGACTCAGGCCCAGAAATCAACAGTTTGTGGTTACCATTGGTTAAATCATATAGGCCTGCAAGTTTAAATTTCATAAAATTTGTTTTGGTTTTAATAACAGATTTTCAATAATTCTGCTATGCAGATTCCAATATATATATATATATATATATATATATTCATTTTTTTTCTATCAAGTAAAGATTTTTTACAAATCGGGAAGAAAGAAAAACTCTTACTTACATCAAATTAATATTTCATTTACCACAATGAAAATTTTTTAATGTTATGTTT